ATGGTTTCTTGATGAACTAAACTGAACTTATTTGAAACTGATGATGCTACCAAAATGGTTTTTACACATTAAGCCAGAAACAAGACAGGTTCCTACTGCATGTCCTCTGAGCCAGGGTGGAGTAGCAGCAGCTGCCTCATAAGGTAAGGTAATAACTATGGTAAGATGTATATGAAGTACTTAACACAAATGGGACAATATCATTCGTGGTTATAGGAAGGGTGCCAGAGCAAGACAGGCTGGGCACAGATTCTGACTCATAATTCACCTTATGAATACAGTCTTATAACCTTTTATGCCTCAGTCTCCCTTTCTATAATAACTGAGGGATAATAAAAGTATTTCGGTAAGATTGTTAAAGAGAACCAAATGAGAAAACGTACACAATATTAAGTGTTTCATAAGCGCTGTATGTGATCTCATTTTTAACAGAATAATCACATCAATTCAGATGTAGGCCTGACTCCAGGACAAAATACCATTTTGGCCAATGAGCTTTATATTCAGACAGAAAAATGACAAACTGAATTTGACAATTTGTTTGTATTATTTTCACTAAAAAGTGTGTGTGTGTGTGTGTGTGTGTGTGTGATTTTGAGAGTGTTTCTCATATAGCCCAGGCTGGCCTCAAACTCACTATGTATCTCAACATGCCTTAGAACTTCTCATTCTCCTTTCTCCACTCCCCCAATGCCAAGATTGCAGGTGTGCACCACATACCCAGTGCCTTAGTCAGGGTTCCTATTGCTGTGATAAGACACCATGACCAAAGTAACTTGGGGAAGAAAATGCATCATGAAAGGAAGTCATGGCAGGAGCTAAATAAAATAGGGCAGGAATCTGGAGGCAGATGCTGATGCAGAGGCTATGGAGGAGCAGAGCTTACTGTCTGGCTCCTTAAGGCTTGTTCAACCTGGTTTCTTATAGAACCCAGCACCACCACCACTAATGAAGAAAATGTTCTGCTGGCTTGTCTGCAGCCTGATCTCATGGAAGCATTTTCTCTACTGAGGCTCTCTAAATGACTTTAGCGGTGTCAAGGTGACATAAAACTAGCTAGCACACCCAGATCGAAAATTTTATTTCAAGCCAATGCAACCTAATTCTAAAGGTTAAATAATGTTAGTTTCCTAGAGCAGACTGGTTCTTAAAGCTTCCACATGGAGAGCTACACATGAATCTACCACAAACTCTCTTGCAAGTAGTTGAGATCATAGATGTGGCATCAGGCTTGCTTTTATTGTGATTATGTATATGGTGTGGGGTTGGAACAAATTTCTCTTCTCTTGTCCCAACTTCACATGGGTTTTGGGGATTGATTCAACTTATTAGGCTTGTGTAGCATGTACTTCTGCCCAGTAAGGCATCTCACCTGCCCATTTTTTAAGCATTATGATTATATGTATATGGGTGTTTTGCTTGCATGCATGCCTATGTACCAAGTGTGTGCCTCTTGCCCTCAGAGGGTGGTGGAACCCAGGTACTGGAGTTACAAATTTGAGCTGCTTTGAATTTTGCTTTTTTGTTTTTTGTGACAGGGTTTCTCTGTATTGTTTTGGAACCTGTCCTGGAACTAACTCTGTTGACCAGGCTGGCCTCGAACTCACAAGAGATCCTCTTGCCTCTGCCTCCTGAGTGTTGAGACTAAAGGTGTGTGCCACCAATGCTTGGCTGTTTTTTTTTTTTTGTTTGTTTGTTTTGGTTTAAGACAGGATTTTTCTATATAGCTCTGAGCTGTCCGGGAACTTGATCTGTAGCCCAGGCTGGCCTCAAACTCCTAGAGATCTGCCTGCCTCTGCCTCCCAAGTGCTGAGATTAAAGGCATGCACCACCACTACCCAGCCTGACCTTCAGTTTTTTATATAGGTGAGAATGACGTTCAGTTTCTGATCCTCCCCATACCCAGGTTACCCCATAAGAAGGGTCAAGTTGACTATACCTGGAATTAACTAAAACTCAAGCAGCTATAAGGGATTTTTCAGTATTAAATCATTTGAAGTGGGAAGACCCACCCTAAATCAGATCTTTTGAGGTGGGAAGTTCCACCTTTAATCTGAGCCACACTTTTTATTGACAGCCTATTTAAGTACATGGAAGAACTCTCTCTCCCTCTTTGCCTGCCTGCCTGCTTGGTTCCTCTTGCTGGCAAATCCAGAGTCTACATCTTTGGGATTCCAATATATACAGAAGACCAACTGTGACATCCAGACTGGTGGACTGATCATTACTGGATTTTGGGACTTTCTGTTGTTAGACAACTATTGTTGGACTGCTGGGCCGCAACCTGTAAAAACCATTCTAATCCTTTATCCATGTAGAGTTTATATAATCTATAAACTCATTCTATGAGTTCTGTTCCTACAAAGAACCTAAACTAATACACTCCCCACGTTTTTCTTTTCTCTTTTTTAAAGGCAGGGCCTCACTGTATAGTCTTGGTTGGCCTAGAACTTTCTGTGTAGACGAGGCTAGCCTCAAACTCACCCATGCTGGGATCAAAGGCAGTCACCATCATACTCAGCTTTTCTCCCGATTCTTGAGGCACAGGAAAGCTTTTCGACTCTGTTAGGGTTTCTTCTAGCATTTAACTCCATCTTAAAAAGAATGTTTTGTCACTGCTTCCTGACTTTCTCATTTGAAAGATCTGTTTGCACTTTCACATACAGCAATCCCACGTGACTCCTCCATCCCCCTACAGGCAGCAAGTTGTCTCCAGCATTTACATTAACACTATTCTAAGTACAATTCCAGAATACATATCCTTCTTTTACAGCTTGGGGTTTTTTGTTTGTTTTAGCAGAATTTCTGCTGTGAAGCCTGGGCTGGCTTCAAATTCAAGATCTACCTGCCCCAACCTCCCAAGCTCTGAGATTACAGGCATTTCCTTGGATAACCAGAGGTATTTCCTTAATACCTGTATATCTGAACACTTTAACCATAAGCTTGCAAGAATGTGAGGTAAGAGAGCTGGAGTTCTAGGCCAGCAAAAGTACACAAGACTCTTGTTGTTGTCTTCTTGAGACAAGGTTTCTCTGTGCAGCTTTGGAGCCTGTCTGGAACTCACTCTGTAGACCAGGCTGGGCTCGAATTCAGAGATCCACCTGCCTCTGTCTCCAGTGTACTGGGATTGAAGATACACACCACCATTACCTGGCTCACAGCAAGACTCTTAATAGTTAACAAACATTTTTAGTGCTGCAGATGTCACTTAGTGGTACAGTACTTGCCTAGCATGGATGTAAGTCCTGGGTTGGATCTCCAGCACCAGCAAAACAAAAACAACAAAATCTGTTTGACAAGAAAATTGAGTTATTGCAAGCCTATTATTGCTACAGAAACAGGTGGTGGCATCAATTTATAATGGCAGCACTAGGTAGGCTGAAGAAGATGGGTGTTGAATTCAGAGGCCATTCTGTGCTGCATGGTTAGGCCTTGTCTCTAAAAGCAAAAACAAAACAAAACTAAAAAACCCCAGCCAGTCAGGCTCAAATTCTGTCCCCAACCCCTGTGACTTTCTGACTCAGTAGTAAAATCTGGAAAATCTGGACATCCCATGTCACTGGGGAACGACAGTAAGAATAAAGATCAGGAATGTCTGGGGCCATCAGTCACTTGGTAACACACAGCATGTGTCACATAAATAATAGTTTTACAACTGCATTCATAATTCACCAGAAAAACAATTGTAGTTCAGTGCTTTATAATATAATTGCATTGTTTTTTAATTCTTTTATGTGTATGGGTCTTTTACCTGCATATGTGTATGCATCACCTATGAACAGTGACCATAGAGGTCAGAAGAGGATACTGAGTTATGAGTTGTCATGTGGTACTGGGACTTGAACCTAGGTCCTTTGGAAGAACAACCAGTACTATTAACTGCTGAGCCATCTCTTTAGCTTCAATAATTAAAATTTCAAGATGCATGTAAGTAAAACAAACCACCCAACCCACAGCGAGGCAGTGATGGTGCATGACTTTAATCCTAGCACTTGAGAGGCAGACACAGGCAGACCTCTGAGTTTGAGGCCAGTCTGGTCTACAGAGCAAGTTCCAAGACAACAAGGGCTACAGAGAATCCCTGTCTCAAAAAACTTAAGGGGAAAAAAAAAAAAACAAAAACAAAAAAAAAAAAAAAAAAAAAAAAAAAAAAAACATTTAAGGGACTAAACTGAGCCAGCTTTGAATACACAGGACACCTATCTAGCTAAATGCTGTCAGATGTATGCTACCCATTACCAGACTTAAATAAATTACGTGGGGTTTTCCAACCCTAAATTTGTGTAAATGGAATCACAGTCTTGTCAGATTATCATGAATCAATCAAGATTTGTCACGAAACTACCAAAGAGCAGGAAGAGTGCTCTGATAATGAATTCTTATTAGTATCAGAGATTAAACATTAGGTTCAAATGCTGTCGTTAAGAATGGGGCTATCCCTTCCTGTCACTAATCCCCGATTCCTGTGGTAGTGGAATCACCAGGTCCTAATGAGTGATCTACTGTGACCTAATGTTGGTCATGCTAGAAGGCTATCAGTATGTGATAGAGGTAATTATAAAAATGGTTTATTTCCCTTGCTTCATACAATCACTAGAACTTCAACCTTTGTTTAAATTTCCCCAGCAGTTTAGCTAGTTCCAAGAAAAGCAATCATTTGAGGCCCAGCACTGCAGATAATAAAACATTACCTCGTGTTGGCTTTTCTTTCTCAGTAGAGAACTCCAAATTGTTTTCTGGTTCCTACTTCATACCCCTTAACCTGGCAGAACCAGGATAGCTGTATCTTGCAACTCTCAGATGAGAGATCCACTTCCAACAAAGAACCCTGAAGAACCACAGCACACTTAGGTTAAACAAATGTTAGCAGAGATATACAGAAAAATTGTGTGCACCCCAACTGTTCTCATAGGGAATACATGAGAAGCACAGCACCAACATTTCTTAAAAAAAAGAAAAAAAAGTTGATTTTTTTTTTTTTTTTTAAAGCAACTGTAGTCAGGACAAGAAAAGGAAAACAGTATCTTTATTGTGTAGTTCTAACAAACATTCACTGTGTGCACATTCCAGTAGAAAGAGACAAAGATCTTTGTTCAAAATAAGCTGAAATCAAATAGGTAAACAAACTCCATCATTGAATACACAAAAGGAATGTTAATATTAGTCACTCACAGTTGAGGGTGCAGTAAAAAGCAAGTTAAATAGCTGAAATGATGTTCTGCCCGAGCAGCCAATGTAGGCGATGTAGGCATGGGCAAGGAGTGGTCACTGAAACTCATGAGTAAGACACTGGGCATAAGGCAGGTGACTGGCACATCTCTGCTTCTTCAGAAACCCCCTCCTAGACCACCCTACACATTCCAAAGCTGCCCAAATATGACGGAGCTCTTTATTACTTTGAGATATTTGGCAACTGAATCACACAGCTTCAAAACTTCAGTTTCTTGTTGAGACATGACATGTTTGGATCCATTTCCCTTGGGTAGGAGGCAAAGAGCATTCATGTTCTGTGCTTCAGTCACCTCAGGTGGACTTCAGCCAGGTGGGTATCCCCTGAGAAGTATGGATGCCATATATGACGATGCATCTGGCTTATAAAAGCATTCCTCGCTGCTCCCAGCACTGAGCGAGCACAAACCCAACCAGAGCACAAGCCCCGGTGGCAACTGCTCAAAGAGCCTGCCTACCAGCTCAAATGATAGCTTTGGACAGACTTGTCTGCTCAAGTAATCATACAAAGAGCTATAAACACAGTCCACAAACTTTGTCCCACTGTGTTCTTTACAAACGTGCAGTCACTCGGAAAAGAAAACCAGCTTCCAGGGCCAGGTAAGAACTTTTAGAGAATGGGCGTTAACACCCTGTGTCTTGGTAGCACAAATTCCCTTTTGTGTTCACCAGTTATTAACTTAGATGGTGTGGTGGCAACTGGCCACTTTAGGAATAAACAACCGAACACCCCACAGGTTGGGCTATTGTTAGCCAACAGAGGCTGGCTCCTCTTGCTCTCAATGAGTTAGCATAACCCACAAATGTCAAGGCTTCTTTGACAAGTTCTTTTTTAATGCATCTGGTGCACATACTGTATTGCTTTGTTTAAGAAAAGCCTCAACAAACTCTCACCTAAGACCTACCTCTCCTCCTAGCTGTTTATGTAGGCAACACAATTACAGCAAAAAGACCTAAAAGAGGTTTGGGGGGATTTGTTTTGAGACAAGAATCTCACTATGTGGCTTTAACTGGCCTGGAGCTTGCTATGTAGACCAGGCTGGCCTAGAACTCAAGAACTGTCTGCCTCTGCCGCCTAAGTGCTAGGAATAAAGTCATGTGCCACCATACCTGGCCAAAAAAAAAAAAAAGCAAGCAGTATTTTTTAATAATATAAAATGATATCACATTATCAGTAGTTCAAAAGAAGCCCTGGGTATTAGATGGACTTCATAAATGGCAAAGACAAGTATGAAAATCTTTTCCTTCTGGCTTTCAGTAAAAGAAACAAGCTCAGATAAAAGCAGGAAAAGAACAGATTGTGAAATAGAAAAACACGATTTTTATATTGGTATCAAAACACCAACTGTACTTAAAAAATACAGTTCTTTATTTGGGGGTGGGGAGTTGAGACAGAGTCTCTCTGTAGACCAGGCTGACCTTGAACTCAGAAATCTGGAATTAAAGGAGTGTGCTGCCACCGCCACCACCACCCAGCCAAAAACAGTTTTAACATTTCCTATAGCCAGATGTTTTTCACTGGATGTAAAGAGACTGCCAACACACATTCATAACTGATCTAAGTTATCTTCAGGCTTAGTGTTAGCATGAATGTTCCCTTCCTGCACTTCAATGTACCTTTATTCTTTCCATCAACCCAACATATTGCATGTAGCTTGGATATCACAGCAAGTGGACCCCAAGCCTCACTGCACACAGACCTTCCTTGCCTTTATGTGGTGTACTCAGTCATGCCACTTTTGTTACAGTATAACTACTCTTTCAATCTACCATATTACAGAATTTTTAAAGATAAATGTGATTAAGTCTATATCCCTGATATATAGAAATCATCTAAAAATTACTCTGAAATATTATATCCAAGTATGCAAGGAAAAGGCTAATGTTATTTTAATGAATTCTGAATTCATTCAATTGCTAAATCACAGAATAGAAGTCCTGGGCTGAACTTTTTCTTAAATAGTTTGCATGGGCAGACTGGTTTAATGTGCAGTTTCCTGTCCTGTCAAGCCCCTGGCAAGCTGGAAGGGAGGCAAGAGACACTTCCCAGCATTTCTGGTCCTTCTAGAATTCAATGGCTTCCTGCTGGACATGACAACAGTCCAGAAGCAGATTGGTAATGAACAAAGGATGTAGAGGAAAATCATAGATAATGGGAAAAAAAAAAATAACTGGGAAACTGTCATGTACTGCCACAGGAAAAAGAATATATTAAAAGAGGCCAGGAAAATGCCTGGACCAATGAGAAACAGTAATGATTAACTACTACTCTCCAATAAAATACATATCCAAGGGAGGAGGGAAAAGCTTCCAGATTTATCAGTATAACCCTCAGAAGAAAAGTAGAACAAAATCACCAAGCTGGAGCCATGTAAGTAAAACAGAAGAAAACAGAAGTCTCTTGGCAAGGTCTCCTATCTTAAGTGGCATGCCCCCAACAATGATATTTACATGTAAATTATTTTACTGAGATAAGGCCAAACTTGAGTTTCTTACTTTGGTAAAACAGGGAATTAAAAATTAGTTAATCAGTAAACAAAAAAGCGGCAAGAGCCTTCCCTGAAGCCACATGGACACAACCACAGGCTTCAGTGACGCCCCATGCTAACACTTGTCTTTCACCAGCAGACAGCCAGGGTGGAAGACGGTTAGAAAAATTGGTGTCAGACCAGAGAGCGTGCCGGTCACTTTAAACTGCTGTCCTGTAAGTGGTGTTTTGTTCTCTTTTTAAAAAAGATTATTCTGAATTCACCTTAACTCACTGATCCCTTCTTCGGCTCTTCTATACCTAAGAGACCAAAGGGATGCAATTTGTAAAGTACTCTTGGGAAGAAAGAGGCTGGACTGAGGGATAAGAGAGAGCCATCTACACTATCTGGGAGGGAGAAAACCACATAGTACTTTTTTTCTTTTGTATGGTTTTTAAAATTACATTTGTTTAGTGTGTGCTTGTGCCTCTGTGTTATGTCTCAATGTGTGTACCTGTGTGTATATACAGGTGTCTGTGTGTACATTAGAGTCATAGCATACATGTTGGTCAGAGGGCAACTTTTGGGAATTGGTTCTCTCCCTCTACCATGTGGGTCCAGGGAATCAAACTCAGGTCATCAGGCTTGGTGCAATTGCTTTTACCCAATGATCTATCTTGCAGGCCCCTTATTTTAGTAACATTCATAAAATCATTTGACAGCTGTGTTTCAAATAAGATAGACACATCTTAACTTCATGAAAATCCCTTATGATAAATGACAAAATTAAATCAGAATTAAAAAAAAATAAATTTACTTAAAAGAAAAATGGGAAAAGATTCAAAACTAGAGTACTGTTCCCTTAAATATATCTAATGTGAATTCAGAGTATCAGAAATCATATACTGTCCCCAAAGGCCATGTCTCTACAACATAGGAACTCTAATCATCTACATAAACTCTGAAATGAAAGGAATGGGTAGAAGCCAGTGAGAAGCCCTGGCAAGGACACACTGTGAGCAGGGGCTTTAGGCATCAGGCTCTGGCTGTGAAGGACCCTCCCTGGTCCTAGACTGAAGAAGGACAGATATCTAGTCAGTCTTGGCTGGGGAAGGGGGGAGAGGGAAGGAGGGGGAAACTGGCAGGATTTAGGGGGAAGCATTGTTGCAGCCTCCAAAGTCAGTCTCAGCTTCTCACTCCCAGGAGCCTGTGCTCCCACACTTCAGCATGGTCTCCTCAGGAGGATTTGCTGTCCGCCGTGAAGTGACGATACAGGAAACCTACAAGAATAGCGCCCACGACGGGGAGAATCCAATATGCCCAGCAACTAGAAGTAGGAAGAAAACGCAATGATGTTAAGAATATTTTACCCAAATAATAGAAATTTTTTCAGCACCTGTTTTAAAACTCGTGAGAAAAGTCTTGATTTTCCCTGGAACTTTTACCACACAGTATTTGAAAGGAAATCAAAAAACCTAACTCTACATTTATTTGTGTCTGTGCAACACATGGGAGTTGGTTCTCTCGTACCACATGGGAACTTGAGTTACCAGACCTGGCAGGTGTCTTTATTTGTTGAGCCATCTTGGAAGGCCCTAAAGTCCTCCTTTTAGAAAGGATGTAAAAAATAAAATAAAAAAGATTTAATTTGCTAGGTGGTGGTGGCACACTCCTTTAATTCTAGCACTTGGGAGGCAGAGGCAGGTGGATCTCTGAATTTGAGGCCTGGTCTCAGAGCTAATTCAGGATAACCAGAGCTGTTACACAGAGCAACCCTGTCTCAAAAAACAAAATTAAAAGAAAAATTTAACTTGCAGGGTGAGGTCGTGTATACCTTTAACCCCAGCACTCTGGAGGCAAAAGCAAGTAAATCTCTGAAAGTTCAAGGCCACCACACAGTGACACCCATCTCAAAAAACAAAACAAAACAAATGTAGTTCAGTAGTAGAACACTTACTTACCATGCAAAAGGCCCTGAGTTTGAACCCTAACACCACAATATAACAAAGAGAATGCATAATATGTTATCAAAACATATATAAGCTGGACACAGTGGTATATGCCTGCAAACCCAGCTCTCTGGAAGTTAAGGCAGGAGAATTGCTGCAAATTAAAGGCTAGCCTGGGCTACATTGTAAACGCCAGCCCAACAATAGCTATGTAGCAAGATGCTGTCAAACAAACAACAAACAGAACAAAAAAGGAACATGAACACACATGTACATCCCATAATCCCAGCATTTGGATACTAAGACAGGAAGATCAAGAGCTTGAGGACCTGGAGACATTAAGTTAAGGACTTGAGTGTGTTCACCAGAACTCAAGTAAAACTTCAGGGAAAAGTGGTTATGCTTGAAATCTCAGTGCTAGGAGATAAAGATGGTCAGATGCCTGGTATGTGCCAGTGTAGGCAAACTAGTGAGAAACCTAGTCTCAGACAATGTTCATGAGGATGAAATCTGCACATCTCATGCATACATATGCACTCAGAGACACACAAATATTTTTTAAAAACTTATTCTGGTGTTTCAAAAAGAAACAAAACAAAACAAAACAAAACAAAAAAAAAAAACAAAACAACAACAAAAAAAAAACCAACCACTAGATATACATAAATACCTTTCTAGGTGTTTCTATGAAGACATACTGGTTATTTCTGGGTTATGAGGTTAGAGACATTAAAATTTGCCTTTGTGGAAGCTAGAGAGATGGCTCAGTGGTTAAGAGCACTGACTGCTCTTCCAGAGGTCCTGAGTTCAATTCCCAGCACCCACATGGTGGCTCACAACCATCTGTAATGAGATCTGGTGCCCTCTTCTGGCCTGCAGGCAAACATGCAGACAGAACACTATATATACAATAAATAAATCTTTAAAAAAAATAAATTTGCCTTTACTGCAGTATTTTTATGTGTATGGTGCTAGGGGCAAGACCCCATATAGATATTAATGTTATCTATCTTATTATAAGTTTAGAAGCAACACAATCTTTGCACCCCAAGTAAGAAGCTGGTAATGGGAGTCAGGTGGCCAAGCTCTCAAAGTCTAGTTTTATTTGTTGTTTTTTTTTTTTAAGATGTATTATTTATTTTATATCTATGACTTTTTGTCTGCATGAATGTAAGGGTTCATGTGGGTTCGTGGTTCCCTAGGGTCAGAAGAGGGCATCAGATCTGCCTGGAACTAGAGTTGTAGATGGTTGTGAGTCACCATGTGGCTGCTAGGGAACAAACTCAGGTCTTTTGCAAGAGGAGCAATTGCTCTTAACTACTGAGCTATCTCTCTAAATCCTTCATGTCTAGTTTTAATTTTGAACACTAATGAGGATATACAAAAAGTACAGGGGTTGTTTTAAAAGAAGTTAAGCAGTGGCAATGCCATGGGAAATACTGCAGGTGACTTCTCTTAGGAGTTTCAGAGCAGATACTGTTCTCCTTAAAACAAGTTTTAGTAGCCAGGTGTTGGTGGCACACCCTTTTGATCCTAGCACTTGGGAAGCAGATCTCTGTGAGTTGGAGGCCAGACTGGTCTACAGAGCAAGTTTCAGGACAGGTTCCAAAGTAATACAGAGAAACCCTATCTCAAAAAACAACAAACAAAACCAAGTCTCTCTCTCTCTCTCTCTCTCTCTCTCTCTCTCTCTCTCTCTCTCTCTCTCTCTCTCTCTCTCTCTCTGTGTATGTGTGTGTGTCACGAGTGCACATATTTATGTGAATAGGTGTTTGGTGTACATGTAAATCCCTATACACTTGCATGCTTCTGCCTGAGGTGTCTGATCAGAAGGTGTCAGATTCTCTGGAACTAGAGTTACAGATGTTTCTAAGCTGCCATGTGGGTGCAGGGAACTGAACCTAGATCCTCTAGAAGAACAGCAACCGCTCTTAACTGCTGAGCCTCCTTCTTTAAAGCCTCCATCTTTAAAGCCTCCTTAAAACAATTCTTTAATAGAGCTAATTTAGCTCCACTTGGCTTAAGCTGGGAGGCTTTCTGTGACCCAAATAGAGGCCTGCCCCTCTATTTAACATATCCACTCTTGGTATGAAAAAGTTCCAAACCAATAAAGCCAGTTTGGGATTGTTAACAAAAATTATTCTCTTTGCCTACCTAAACAGATCTAGCACAGTGTACACAGAGGTAGTGTCAAGTTACTTCTAACAAATGAGAATGACAAACAGGCAGCTTTGCTTAAAAAGCCAAGACAGCGAGGTGTTTTGCCTGCACGTATGAACGTGCACCACATGAGTTCCTGGAGCTCTCGAATGTCAGAAGGTGCTAGGTCCCCTAGAACTGGAGTTATACAGCTGGTAGTGAACTGCCATGAGAGTGCTGGAGCAGTGTTCTTTACCACTGAGCCATCTCTCCAGCCCAGCTATAAACATTCATGTATCTGTTACCTTGTACCTTTCTTTTGTACAACAGTCACACCATGTTGCCAAAGTTGATCTCAAAACTCCTGGGTCAAACAATCCTCTCCAGTAGTGAGACTACAAGGCAGGCATACTACACTCTGATTTGTGACTTGTTCTATTGCAGGTTCCACAGAAATGAAATTGTTAGGTCAAAGTTACTTACTAACAATGTCAAAATGTTCCAAAGTGAATGTTCCCAGAAGAAGGAGTAAGAATCTTCATAACTTACTCCTAATAAGCAGGTCTTCTTATGTACAGTAACTCTAGTTTTTGTCCACCTACTAGGCATGAAATAGGCCCATGATTTTAACGATATGACATTAATGAGAACACTTATACAGTGGGGACAGCACAACATGAGGAACTGTGCTAAAAGGTGGCAACATGAGGAGGTGGAGAACCACTGCTGTGTGCCTCCAGCCTGCCTCCCTCCAACCTCACATCCTCTTTTTTAAAAGAGTTAATACTCTCCCTCCAAAACTAATTATTGTTGCCTGTATCTACATAGGAAGTCTGTGCTTTGGGTTTTCTTTTAAAAATTTTATGCATCTAGACATTTTACCTACACACCAGTCTGTCTATATGTGCATGACTAATGCCCAGAGACTAGAAGAGGGCATCAAATCCCACCCTATCCCCGAGCTGGAGTTAGAGATGGTTGTGAACCACCATGTAGGTGCTGGGACTCAAATCCAGGTCCTCTAGAAAAATCAGCCAGTGCTCTTACTGCTGAGCCATCTCTCCAGCCCCAAAGATGTGTACTTAAAAAGAATCTCTTGCCAGACATTATGTAGACTGTAAGAAAGTCCATTAGGGAGATACTAACCTTTTGCACGTACTGCTTTTTGAAGGATCCTGAAGAAGTCACATGTTCAAAAATAACAGAAAGAGAACATTAGTACAGTACATTTAAGTCTTCTTGGATATCTATAAACTGTAGCTTATAATAGAATTTCCTTTACACATTTGATGCCTACAGCCTCTAAATGATGGATAGACTTGAAATCTTTTATTCCTAATAACACATTGGCATTTCTTAGTGAATAAACTAATGAGAACACAGAAATGATCTGTTTTTTACACATAAAAAATCAATGATAAAAGTCTATTTGAATGGCCAGGTGATGGCAGTGCACATCTTTAATCCCAGCACTCAGGAGGCAGAGACAGGCCTCTGTGAGTTCAAGATCAGCCTGGTCCAGAGAGTGAGTTCCAGGACAGCCAGGCTACATAGAGAAACCCTGTCTTGAAAACAAAACAAAAGTCTATTGAAATGAACTAATAGTTTGGGTCACAAAGACAGGCCTATTTAACTGAACTTGCCATAGCATAGCTAAAATCACAATTTCTAAAAACATTTAAAAAGTCCTCAAATCTTTCCTTTTGCAAAACTATCAACTATCAAATGCTCTTGGACATAGATAGAGACTACTACTTTATGGCTTACTTTCTGAAATTGAAACTAGAGAATTTGGGGATTACCTAACTTTTTTTTTCTTAAGATTTTGTTTTGGTTTTGTTGTTGTTGTTTGTTGTTTTTTTGAGACAGGGTTTCTCTGTGTAGCTCTGGGACTTGCTCTGGAACTCACTTTGTAGACCAGGCTGGCCTCAAACTCACAGAGATCCACCTGCCTCTGCTTTCAAGAGTGCTGGGATTAAAGGCTGTGCCACTTGGCTGTTTTTAAGATTTATTTAATGTTATGTGCATTATAAGTGTTTGCCTTTGTGTATGTATATGTGCCAGGAGTAGGGTGTTGAACTCTGTGGAACCAGCATTATAAACATTTGAAAACTTCCCAGGTTCCTGGGAATAAAACCTGGGTCCTTTGCAAGAGCAAGCAATGCTCTTAACTACTGAGCCATTTCTCCAGTCTTTGATTATTTGACAGCTAAAAGGGGAAGAGCTGTTAAAGGAAAGAAAATACTAAATGAATGCTTTTTCTTTTTAAAAAACAAATCCACTCTGTGTAGTCCAGACTAGCCTTAAACTCATGGCTCTCTTGCTTTGGCCTCTTGCTGAGATTACAATTGTACACCACTATATGATCCAAATAATCCTAGAAATTAGGTTTTAGGGGCTGGAGAGATAATTCAGAAGACCTGAGTTCAATTCCCAGCACCTACACACTAGCTTATAATCATCTGTAATTGCAGTCCCAGGAATCTGATAACCTCTCCTGACCTCCACAAGCACCAGGCATGCATTTGGTGCACTGACATGCAGCAAGCAAAACACCCAAACACATAAAAATAAATAAACACAATTTTGGGAATAAAAAGCAATTACTTTATATTATTTATATGGACAATGAATTGAAACAGATGGAGATCAGCAGTTGCCTTAGGCTTGGCAAGCAGGACTGGGAGATAAATGGCTGGTAATAGGTTCAAGATTCCTTTTTATATATAGTGATCAAGTTGTTATAAAATTGATTCCAATTATTATTGTACAGTGCAGTTGTACACGAATGAACTAAAAACAGTTATACAGATTAATACACACTTCAATCCTGAAATCACACAGATGTAATCTCTACATTTCAAACCTTTTCTACTCTCTTTACAACAAAATTTAAAACAAAACTCAGTCCTGAAGCACAAGGTATTAAGGGTTTAATTCCTCATAAATCAATAAGTAAATAAATATATTATGAACAGGAATACTAAAGATGATATTTGTAGGTTAAAAGGTAATATTTTATGCTCAAGTATTTTAATTAGGGTTACTACTGTAGTGATGAAACACCATGACCAAAAGAACCTGGAAGAGGAAAGGGGTATTTTGTTCACAATTACAGCTCATCATCAAAAGCAATGAAGGCAGGAACTCACACAGGGCAAGAACCTAGAGGCAGGAGCTGGGCAGAGGGCATGGAAGGTGCTGCTTACTGGCCTGCTTCACATGACTTGCTCAGCCTGTTTACATAGAGAACCCAGGACCACCAGCCCAGGGATGGCACCACTCACAATTAAGAAAATGCCCTACATCCTATGGAAGTATTTTCCTAATTGAGGTTTCCTCCTCTTAGATGACTTTATCTTGTGTCAAGTTGATATAAAACTATCCAGCACACCAAGTAGACTTTTCTAAAGGTTTTTTTGTTGTTCTTGCTGTTGTTGTTTTTTATGTGTATGAGTATGTGCCTGCATTTATATGTGTGTGTACACAACATGGAAATAAGACAAGAGCATTGATCCCCTCAAACTGGAATTAACAGGCAGTTGTGAGCTGCCATGTGGGAACTAAACCTCACTCAGTCCTTGGAAAGAACAGCTAGTGCTCTTACCACTGTGCCATTTCTCCAGTCCCAAGTAAACTTTTTATAAATCTTCCCATAACTGAAATATATATAGTATCTTCCAGCTCAGCACTAACTCAGCTTCGCTGTTTGTAGAATGAAGATTCAGATGAACTTAAATTCTAAAATCATTTCTCCAGCACAATTTTCTGAGCCAAGGCATTTTAGCAAAACCTTTAGGATCAGCAGAAGCACCATTCTCGCATGTCTAGGAAACTGAAGGAGCATTATAACCACATGCCCATCTCTTTCTCTGTCACTAGCTCCACAAGAGAATGTGTGTGAAAATGAGAATAAGAAAGAAATGTCTATCTAGCAGTCATGGACCAGGATATTGAGATCAGGGGAGGAAGATTTCACTCTAGTTTGTAAGAAAACACGAGAGAGAACAAACACTAAAGGAATGCAGTAAACTTCATCACAGAACACAGGAAAGAGCCAAATTTATGATTATAAGGCATTAAAGTAGAGATAGGGTGCTGTAACTTAGGCTAATTACAGATTGTACTTAGGCTTTCAAAAGCATAAACAACAGATGTATAAAATGTATAAGGAGCTTGTGATCAATTCCTAAGATGTATTTGCTATTTCAAGAGGATTCCAAGTATTTAAAACTTAAGCCTCAAGCATCTTCAATAACCCACATAGCAGTTCCCCAGCTTTTTACTCATTCACTATGGCTTCTGTGCCAATGGCTTACGAAAAACAAGTAGGGAGCTTTTTATTTAAAACAGTGCTGGAAAGGACTCTCTCCCCATATTATACCATGGCCCTTATATCAAAATGTACCTCTATGTAAATTTTATTTTTGTTTGTTTTTGGTTTTCAAAACAAGGGTTCTCTGTGTAACAGTTCTGGCTATCCTGAAACTCAAGAGATCCATCTGTCTCTGCCTCCCAAGTGATGGGATGAAAGACATACACCAGCACAATCTATCTTGAATTTTATTATTAGGTGCATGCTACCACTTAAAAAAGAAGGGGACAGAAGACTGAAGATTTAAATATTTTGCCGGGCATTGGTGGATCACACCTTTAATCCCAGCACTAGGGAGGCAGAGGCAGGTGAATCTGTGAGTTCGAGGCCAGCCTGGTCTTCAGAGCTAGTTCCAAGACAGCCTCTACAGCAATACAGAGAAATCCTGTCTCGAAACCCCCCCAAAAAAGATTTAAATTTTATTTTATAGACTAAATTATATAAGATCATATAGTATATAATCATGGAGACAGCCTTCTCGTGAAGTTCTAGCATACGTAATGCTTTTACTACAAATCAACTCTTTGAATAAAACCCTTTTTATTACTGGTGACTAAGAGTACATTATAGCAGGGCTGGAGAGGCCCTGCAGTTAAGAGCACTGTTTGCTCTTCCAGAGGACCCGGGTTCAATTCCCAGAACCCACATGGCAGTTCATGCCTGTCTGTAACTTCAGTTACACAGACATACAAGCATTCAAAATACCAATGAACACAAAAACTAAAAGTACATTATGCCTATGTGTTGAGTATGTATGTGAGTACAGTGCCCTGGAAGGCTAAGAGGGTATAGGGTCCCTTGGAGTTAGGGTTACAGGCTGTTGAGAGTTACCTAATACGGATACTGAGAACTGAACTTCAGTCCTCTGAAAGAGCAGCATACATTCTTAACAGCTAAGCCACCTCTCCCGTCCCAAATGCTTTTTTTTTTTTTTGGATGAAAATGGAGTTCCAATAGTTACTGCCTTACAAAGTGTAGGTCCCTGTAGTCAGTCTACTGTATATAAAAATATTTCTCTGTCGACAGGACAAGATTTAAAAACAAGAAACACTCCCTAATACCAATTTCTAGGTTCTCTTAAGAACTCACTATAGGATTCTTACTGAGAAACTGCCTCAAGAAAACAACAAAAAAAGAACCCACTGTGATGATACATATAACACAAAAGAAAAAAACAAAAAACAAAAAAAAAACCCCACATAGTTCATTTGGTAGAATGACTGCACATATGAATCCCTGTGTTTGAGCAACACATTATTAACAAGATGTGGTGGCCTACACAAGTGATCCCAGAACTTAGGAAGTGGCGCAAAAAGAATCAAAGTTCAATGTCAACATCTGTTATATGGTAACTTTGAGGCCAGCCTGGGCTACATGAGACTTTGTCTCAAGAGAAAAAAAACATCCCGCTGAGCGTTGATGGTGCACGCCTTTAGTCCCAGCACTCAGTAGGTGGAGGCAGACGGATCTCTGAGTTCAAGGCCAGCCTGGTCTACAGAGTCAGTTCCAGGACAGCCTCCAATGCAATACAGAGAAATCATGTCATGAAAGAACCAAAAAAAAAAAAAAAAAAAAAAATCCCAAAGTGATCATTCCCATATAATCAGACCTAAAAGGGGAAAATGTGACCCACCAATTCTATCTGCAAAGTATAAAAGGGTGTTGTGTGGCTATTCTCATACCTTATTTTGCCTCTAGAACTTGGTAAGAAGACATCAATCTCTGGCACTGCTCAGAAAAAAACTGCAATTGTTTTTCAAAAGTGACTGGGCCATGACATTCTATGTTTAATTTCCAAAGACCATAATGTCTGACAAACTACAGGGAGCAATGACATAGCCTGATAGAAGTCTTTGATCAGTAGCAATTACTACTTGAATCTATGAAGCCTAACTCCAAACTTCAATAAGTTAGGTGGTTAAGATAGGAACAATAAAGAACTTCCTGGTTTTATTTTTCTAAAACAGGTTTTGAAGTAGTGACTCTCTTAACCCCAACTATCAAGTACAAAGTATTCTCTTTTTATTTTTGAAGACAAGAGTCTCACCATGTAACCTTTGGCATAACATACCCCAAAGGATAAATTTTGTTTGTTTTTTGAGAAGGGTTTCTCTGAGTAGCCCTAGCTGTCCTGGAGCTGGGATTAAAGGGAAGGACCACCACTGAATAATGTTTTTTTTTATTCTAATTAGTTATTACTGACTAAAGCCAGGCATCATGGCACACCTTTTATCTCAGAACTAGGGAGGCAGAGGCAGGCAGATCTCTCTGAGTTCTAGGCCAGCCAAGGCTACAGTGAGACCCTGTCTCAAAAACAAAACAAATCTGTTGTCAATTTTATAAACTTCAGATCTTTAAAATCTTTATACTGTAGTATACCCCGGCCATCAACTAAGGTATTATCAACATATAATAAAATGATGGTGACCATGATCACTTATTTACCTGTGGTATAGTAAGGGAACATGAAAAGCTGTTCCTAAAAGAATTGGGAAACGAATACAGGGCACAGTGGTCCATGTCTGTAAACTCTGGACTCCAGAAGTGATAAGCAGGAGGATCAGAAGTTCAAGGATATCGTTAGCAGATATGACCAACGTTGGCTAACAAGCAAACAATGAAGAAGTGGGAATGAAAACTGACTTGTACTCCCAAATAGAGACATGTGTTTTTGTTTTTGTCCTGTTTCCCCACACTTCCACAGGAAGAATGTGGAGGCTTATGAAGATGGAAGAGGAGTGATGCAGCAGGAGGAAAAGGAGAATGAAAACTAAATCTCTACCTACCATAGAAAGCTCAAGGCTCTACTTAATAAATCTTTAAAAAAAAAATCATTTCTTAGCCAGGCATTGGTGGCTTACACCTTTAGTTCCAGCACTCAGAGGTAGTCAGGTGGATCTCTGCAAGGTTCGAGGCAAGCCTGGTCTACAGAGCTAGTTTCAAGACAGGCTCCAAAACTACACAGAGAAACTCTGTCTCGAAAAAACAAAACAAAAATCATTTCTTACCAATTCAGAAACCTTGAACCACAAGAAACTAGTTAATAAAATGAGCTTTGCTCCTACTTTTGACAGTGAATGTCTAACCATAGATGAGGAAGTGAAGGAAAGAGATATCTATATCCTAGGATCGAAGTGTCTGTTTTAACCGCTGTGAAAAACCTATCATTTCTCAGCCTTTTGGCTAACATCAAGCATAGAAATAAACCTGAGGGATCAAGAATTTCTTCCTGGAAAAAGAATCAGTTTGGAATATAATTCTATGAAAACCTGGTAGGTAATCTTGAAATTTTTCCAAAAGGCTTTCTTTGCCTAATCTGCCTGAAGGTAACAGACAGCCTGACTGGAAACAAACAACAGCCAGAACCATCCTAATGGAGACAGGTCTCTTGGGAACAAGAAGCTGGAGAAAAACAAGCTTGAAAGCACAGCTTTCAGTCCCTCCCTAACCTAGGATGAGGCCACACTACATTTGCAGTTCTAAATTACTATATAGTATTTGGTGGGTTGAGGAGGCTTTTTTTTTTTTTTTTTTTTTTATACTTCTTGCTTGGGGGGAGAGGATCCAAGGCCTGTCAGTTTTATGTCAGCTAATCAATCTCTTCTAAAATGCAGTAACAGACACAGCATTCAGCAGAAAGTGTGGTGCTTGGCTTCCTTCCTATCACCTAGGCTATTCAAAATACAAACCCAGCTCAACTCAAGAGATTCTGAACAAGAATAGTGAAAGCCCAGGAAATGAACACTTGATTTGTATTTTCAAGTTCATTCCAGGGGATCCCAATTTAGGTTGATGCAAGGAATAGAATTTCTGAAACACTACTGTCCATTCTCCACAAATGTTCCTAACTGCCTCCTGTATTACCAAGAAAGAAAACCAGCAACAAGAAACAACTGATAGATTTCTAGATAAGTTAACTATAAAAATATATTCCTACTATCTTAACATAAAGAGTGCTTTAATGATTGCTGTGAAGAAATGAGTGAAGGCTCCTAAATTCAAGGTGTGCCCCTTGAGGAAAATTACAGTATCCTTTGAATAAAATGAACTCTGAGAGTGGCATTTTCTGAACATGTTCAATTAAGGCCATGATTAGCTCAAAATTTACCTTAATGTCACAAGAGGAGTCAAGAATGGGTAAGGTGTGAGGAAGGAAAGACAAAAACCAACCAAAAGTGCTTACAAGTATTTAAAGACCCATTTCATCTGCCTTTCATAATTTAACAGTTCACAGCAGTAGAGGAGCAAGACAGAATAGTTAATTTATATACACACTCTGGATTTCAGAACAACAAAAGGCAGACACTGCCAAGCAAGCAATCTCTTGAATTGAAAGAATTCTTGTGCCAAAGCCAGTTTGAATTGCTGTGCCAAACCTGTTCATTATTTCCTGGCTCAATGAAGAATGAAGATCTAGAAGGAGGAAGGAGGGAATCTCTATTATGTGCATGATGAGCTAGGAAACACCTAGACTGCTTATCCCTGGAGGTCAGAAGGCAGTGTAATAACCTTCTAAAGGACAGAAGTCACAGGAAACTGTAGGAGTACATGGGCAATGACACCACCCTGTCTGTGGAAATTACAAAAGACTTTAAGGCTTTCTTCTTTGTACATAAGGCAAAGTACACTAAGGTTTTCAAACACTCAAATACTGAATCTTTTCTTTTGGTTGCATCAGTGAGGGAACTACAAAGGGTGTGGGATAATCTGAGCATACAGGTTTTTAAAAATTCATTTGGGGAAATAGGGACAGAAAGAAAGGCCTCTATTTTACAGAAAGAAGATACCCTGTAGGAAAAAAAAAATTTAATCAGAGCATTTATTATCTGTTTTATATAAGTAAGAATAAGATTTTTTCTAAACTGAATCCATAACCTAATTTCTTTCAAAACTACAAAAAAACATACTTTGGAGTCTCAATAAAAAAGCATACAAAGCATTAACAAAATGCTTCTTACTGGGCTGAGGAGATGGCTCAGGCATTAAAGGCTAGGCTCACAAGTAAAATGTTAAAATGCTGCCTTTTGTTTAAGATTTAGTTATTCCTTTGTTTTGACAGTTATAAAATCCAAATTACTTAAAAATAGAATTTTGGTTTGGATAAATGTAAACTTGAACTCACAGAGGTGCATCTGCCTCTGCTTCCTGAGTGCTGGGATTAAAAGCATGCACCACCATGTTCTGGCTCTCTCCTTGTTTTAAGCCTTTATTTATATTTTATGTGTATGAGTGTTCTCCCTACATGAATATCAACTGTGCATTATGTGCATACAATGTCAGCAGAAGTCGAAGAGGACACTGGAACCCCTGAGACTGGAGTTACAGTTATGAACTATACCATGTAGTTGCTAGGAATCAAACCCAGGTCCTCTGGAAGGACAACCAGTGCTCTTAACCACTGAGCCATCTCTATGGCCCATTTTTATTTCTCTTATTAAAATTATTTTTAAAAGCCAGGCAGTTGTGGTGCATGCCTTTAATCCCACCTAGCACCTGGGAGGCAGAGGCCGGTGGATCTCTGTGAGTTCAACGCCAGCCTGGTCTACAGAGTGAGTTCCAGGACAGCTAGGACTATACAGAGAAACCTTGTCTCAAATGAAATAATAAAGGAAGGAAGGAAGAAAAAAAAAGACTTGAAACACACAAGAAAAACTAATGACTTCTTACCTTATTACCACCTTTTTTAGGTTTAAGGTCACTCTGTTTCAAAAAAGAGAGAACAATGTTAGAAGGATCTAAATGAACTGCAGCAATGAATTAGTCCCTATCCCTCAAAGACTTTAGGTCTGAAGAAGGGGCCCAGCTCCACCCTTTAGGTTACCAGGGTCCCCCATTAGAATGCTAAGCACAAAGGACTTACAAGTCTATAGTTGATACCTTTAGCAAGAAACTTTTCAAGAATAACCAAAGCACTATTTTAGAAACAGGTATTATTAATTATAAAAATCAGTCAATAAAAGTAAAGAACTAGTTCCCTTGGCTTTTCTGATACTATGTGCTACAAATGAGAGCTTGACGATTCTGGAGAAACCAGGCCTGAGAGCTAGGTTTAATGAATTTCTACTCTAAATAATTCATTCTCTGATCCTGTTAATGCCTGTCCAGTAGTTTCTCTGCATAAGTGACTGAGTTTTTATACAACAGTTCTTACCGGATGAACGTCACCAATGTAGTACTGCTTTAGCATTTCCCTGGCATCAGGGGAGTGGCCAACATCTTCAAAGCTTTCAGTTGCATCAGCACCAGCTTGTTCCAGCAGAACCTCTTCCCCACCAGGATGCTAGAAGGAAATGGCATTTGCTAAATAGGGTGCTCTCTGAAAAGCAAACTGAAGTTTTTTCTTTCCATCCCCATTCTTCCTTTCCCCTTTCTCCATTTAATAGAACAAACTGTGTGCCACCTGTGAGGGCACATCAGGAAGAGCACAGCACCACTGTCTATAAAATTCTGGCCCAAAATGAATAATTAGGGTAACAACTGATTTCCTTTGTCAACATTAAAACTGCAACAAAACAACAATGAAAACCACAAGTGGGAACTCCAGAATTTCTGGAGTTCTTTATTCTGTTTTCTACATTTTTCTTCCTCTTCCTCCTTTTTTCAGATGGGGTCTCATGTAGTTTGGCTGAGCTAGAACTCAATAAATACCCCAGAATGACCTTTAAGCCAGCTCTCTTGTTTTCCTGGGATTGCAAGTGTGGGCCATTACATCCAGACAGAGGTTCTAGGCATTGAACCCAGGGCCTCATGCATGTCCATTCCATTTCTCTCTCCTTTCTTTTCAAAAACTTTCTCTTGTGTATGTGTGTGCATGAATTCCTCCAGCTCAGCTTCCTGAATGGTTATTCTTGCAACTTCTCTGTAAGTTTAAAGCTGTTTTCAAGTTAAAAAAAAAAAAAACTGGACAAGGTGGCACACACCTTTAATACCAGCACTCAGGGAGGCAGAGGCAGGCGGATCTCTGTGAGTTCGAGGCCAGCCTGGTCTACAGAGCTAGTTTCAGGACAGGCTCCAAAGCAATACAGAGAAACCCTGTCTCAAAAAAAACTTTAAAAAGAGTAGGTCGGGCAGGGGAAGTACATTCTATAATTATAAGTTACTAAGAGACTAAGATGTCTTTGTGTCCATACTTGTAAAATAGAATAATGAGAAATGGCTCAGTAGGAGAAAGCCTGACAACCTGATTATGATTCCTGGAACCTATAAAGAGAACTAACTTACAAAAGGTGTCTGTCCTCTGACTTCCCTCCACACATGCTTTGGGGTAGGTTGTACACCCATGTACACACACAGAAATTAATAATAAAGTAAATTTTAAAAAACTTGACACCTGCCAAAAATAATGATACACACTTTTTGTCCCAGCACCTGGGAGGCAGAAGCAGGCAGATCTCTGAATTCCAGTGCAGCCTAGTATATACAGTGAGCTCCAGGCCATTCAGGGCCCAGAGAGGCCTTATCAAGACAGACAGACAGACAGACAAAAAGTAGATACCTGGAAATACCAAAGGGATTCCGGTGGCTGCACAAGGTACACACCCTGCCTTTTGAAACTATTTTTACTAAGTTATCACCTATTCCAAAACTGTATTTTCTAAATTCAGCAGACCCTGACTTCAAAACCCAGCAGACATTTACTTATTAACAAATTTGGAATTTTCATTATTTAAAACATCCAAACCTGTATTCCTGAAGTACTAGTGTTTTTTAATTAGTGACTTTTGTAACAAGCACTTAAGCAGTATTAATGTTTTAAAGATTAATTTAAGAGAAACACAAAACCTCTCAAAGTCACCTTCCAGTCATAGTCGCTTACTCGCCAGCTCCCTGAGGATTAGAAAGCTGCTTCTATCTTGGTCTTCTCAAAGGCATTCACCCAGGAGAGCCCAGCAGCTAGGCTATTTTAATGCAGGAGTAAGAGCACTGTTCACCTGTTTCATCTGAAACCATTCAGCTGTTTCATCCAGAGAGAAAATGAAATCACTGCATAGGGATCTGCATCCCAATCTGCTCTGTGTCTAAACTATGGAAGATATTTTCCTCTTATGGCATATCCCAACAAACACAAGAGGCTGAGGAGGGCATCCCAAGCTCAAGCCAGCTGGAACAACTTTGTCAGATCCTTTATCACAATGAAAAGCCACAGTGGTACACACCTTTAATGCCTAGCACTCAGGAGGCAGAGGCTAGTGGATTCCTGTGAGAACTTAAGAGCTGCCCTTACAACTGAGTAAATCTGGGAGGAGAGGTAATCCTCCCCGGGGGAGAACACCACAACTGGTAGTCCAGTGCCAAATGGTCAACCCTGAAAACAAACAAACATACATACATACATACATACATACATACATACATACATACATACATGTAAAATTATACAGACTCGGCAGGCTGTTCCTAGGAATCTATGTACATACAAATACATACATGCCTATAATAACAATTGATGGAAAAAGAGGCCACAAATTTGGACAGCAGAAAGGAATATATTAGAGCATTTGGAGAGAGAAATGTTATAAATATAATCAAAACGAACAACAAATTTTTTTAAAAAGAAATAAAATATGACTAAAAACAAGATGCCCTTCACTTGGAGTCTCTCTGAATAAAAGGGAGGTTGTATAGCCTGGGACATGCAGCAGGGCCTTTTTTTTCTGAGATTTGATACTAGAAAACATAGGAAATGATAAGTGTGTGGCTGGTAATTCACAAGGAAAAAGTCAAATTAAAAATGTTTTAGAGGCATGTCTTAAAACAACAACAAAAATATTTCAGAGGGGTTTAGTGGTTAAGTGCACTTGTTGCTCTTGCAGAGGACCCAGGTTCAGTTCCCAGCACCCACATGGTGATTCACAACCATCTGTAACTCCAGTTTCAGGGATCTGATATCTTCTTCTAACCTCTGCAAGCACCAAAGAACACCTGTGGTACACATACATATGCCACATACATGAAGGAAAAACACTGACATATGAAATAAACAAAAAATATTATGTAAGAAAATCTTTTGGGGGGAAAAGGAATTGAGACAGGTTATCACTATGTAGTCCTGAATGTCCAAGAATTTGCTATGTAGTTAATGAAACTCACAGAGATCCACCTGCCTCTGCCTCCCAAGTGCTTGGATTAAAATTGCCCGACTTAAAAAAAAGAAAAAAAAACTTAAAAGAAATTAAAAATGAAATGGTTTGAGGCTGAGAGATGACTCAGCTGGTAAACTGCCTATCCCACATAAATGAAAACTGGAAGTCATATAAATGCCAGATAGACCTGGCAACTTGCCTGTAATATTTCAGAGCGAGGAAGGCAGAAATAAGGGATCCCAGGAGCATGTTGACTAACTAGACTAGTCATACAGGTGAGGTTTGAATTCAACTGAGAGGTCCTGCCTCAAATTAAGGAAGACCCTTGATGTCACCCTCAGCCCCTACACACATGCAAACACAAACACCACATGCAAACATACCTATACACATCATACACATAGATTCAGAATTCTTCTGTTAACACTAGAAATAGTAGGCAGAAAAGGGGGAAAACCTGAGCTACTTTTCAAACATTTGGAAAAATATTATCAATTATAACTATTATATGCATTAAGTCCTAACTTAAAGCATAATAAAACTAATATTGTGGATAAATATATTTATATCTATGTTGATATTTTAATCCCTTTCTTTACAAAAGTTCATAATTATTATTACTAAAAATTTATTAACCACAGATGAGCAAATAAAATTTCTCTGTTCATTTTAAGTGACATGAAGAACAAAGACTCAAAATTTTATTCACAAAATTTATTTTCAGCATGAATACCTAGTGCCAGGACAGACACATCTCTGAATATTATCTAGGGAAAATGAATGACTCTAACATACTGCTATATTCTCAAGTGCTTTTAGAATCAAAGAGGGGTTACATTACAAAGGTCCTTCCTTGCCTCATAGTTAAGAATTTATCAAACTGGGGCTGGAAAGATGGCTCAGCAGTAAAAGCACTAGCTGCTCAAATAGAGGGCTCAGATTCTGTCCCCAGAACCCACCTGGGGGCTCACAACTGTCTATAATTCCAGTTCTAGTGGATCTGAAGAGGGGAAAGAGGGGAGACTCTCTTCTGGCCTGTTCAGGCACCAAGAACACATGTGCTGTTCAGACATATATGCACACAAACATCCACACATGTAAAATACAATTTTTAAGAGAATGTATCAAATCAACAGAAAAATCAAAGCTGCTACAAGCAAGTATATCACTCAGTTGAACTAAAGACCTAGTTATTTTGGTTACAACGTTTCATACAATGTTGTAAAATGACAGCAAAGGCAATTTCTGGCAGACACAGATATGAGTTGCCCAGGGATATTCTACCTGGATTAAATGTTCTGGAGAAGTGACAGTGTGACATTTCTGTCAAGAAGTAGATGTAGGGCCAGTAAGATGGTTTATCCCGCAAAGCCCTTGATGTGCAAACATGAAAAACCAAGTTTAATCTACAGAACCAATTCCTTAAAACTGTTTCCTGACCTCCACATATGTACCACGGAAAAGGCATGCCCATATCCATACAAACACAATAATAATAATAAGAAGAATAAGAAGAAGAAGAAGAAGAAGAAGAAGAAGAAGAAGAAGAAGAAGAGAAGAAGAATTTTGAGTAGCTATAATCATAACAACTCTACAAAGTAAACCAAGCCAACAGCATCAGGGAGGAGACATTTCTTTTGGCTGTTTTAGAGGATTTACAGTCCATCTGAGCAGGGAAAACATGGTAACAGGAACACGAGATGCAGATTCACACTGTAGTGGTCTGGACCACAAAGTAGGGAGTAGCAGGGGTTGGCATAATTTCCCACTCCAAGTGACCTATTTTTGTCAGCTTAGGCTCCACATCCTAAAAGACTTACAGCATTCCAAAATAGTGTCACCAGTTGGCAGATAAGTGTTCAAAACCTATAGGGGGCATTTCTAAGTCAATCCATAATAACTGTAAGATTTATACATAAACCAGGCAGTAGTGGTGCAGGCCTTAATCCCGGCACTCAGGAGGCAGAGGCAGGCAGATCTCTGTGAGTTCAAGGCCAGCCTGGTCTACCAAAAAAATTCCAGGACAACCTCCAAAGCTACAGAGAAACCCCGTCTCGAAAAACCAAAAGAAAATAAAAAAGATTTATACATAAGTATGCAAAAGGAATGCTTTATAACAGAATATATTATGTAAAAAGCTAGATGTCACCACACTTTGATCACTTTGCATAAAGGAAGGGGTACTGATTAGAAGAAA